GAAAATGTGGAAAAGTCATCTATGAGCATCATAGTCAATTTTTTTAAAAAATGTGACCTCCTGCTTTTATTGAAATTTATGATGAGGAAGCCAGAATCCCTAAGCCAATTACTCCTCTAAGTGTGGCAGTTGGCAGCACTCAGTGTATATAGGTGCACCTGACAGCAATAACTTCAAAAGAAGAATGTGTGTTCAGAGTTCCAAGCTAAGGAATCCAGGAGTGGCCAACCCAGAGATTCATTCCTTATCTATAAGGAACATCCGAACCCCTGGTCCATCCTGTGGAACATGGACCACACAAGGGATTGAGGCCCTTTGCTTTGAGTTAAATGAGGATGGCCATGTAGGAGCAGGTGTTCAGTGAAGGTGATTTATCAACTGCATGTTTTTTACAAGCAATTGGGATTCTCCTGTCCAGCCCACTGCCACTGGATCACCCTGTAAGTCAGTCCTCTCAATAAACCCTGTGTCTCAGTTGCTGGCTCTGGGTCTCTTCTTCCACCTTTTGAACCTACTGCCATCCCCACTGAAATCAACAGGGGTCCCACATGACACTCAGAGGCAGAGCTGGATTAGAAAGAGGAGATCTGAGAGCCGAGGCCTGTCGTGCACTAACTATTTCTGTGACCCCACGCCGGCCCACCCTCTGCCTCCAGATGGGCCTCTCCCAGGTTATTCCAGCAGGAAACCATCCCCAGTGACCTCTGCTGGCTGACCCCCCACACTCTTGCCTTAGCCTCTAGGAACAGAGACCTCCTAGCCTCAAGGGTTGTTCTTAAGACCCACGGCACTGATGTAAGAATATGCAGAAACCTGCAAAGTACAAAACAAGGCACCATATGGTATCCCCGGGATCCTCTCCCTTAGGCCTGGCAGGCCAACCCATCCTCAAAGAATCTGACCCCTTCCTCCATAGGAGTCTTCCTCAGGCCAGCTAGCACCTCCCCAACTCTCACCCCTCCAGCATCCACCTAGCCCTTAATAACCACAGGCTGAGAGAGGTGGCATCCTTCTAGGAATTTGCCCTTCCTCCTCAGCCAGACCACAGGGCTCCTGGGGAGCGGGGCTGCCTCCACCACTCCACTCTGCCCTGGACCTTTCCAGAGAATCATCCTGGAGCCATTTGTTTCTTGTATTAGGCGACCGACCAAACTAAAGACAACTTGCTCCAAAGAACAAAGTCCCCATCTTCTCCAACACCCCAAAACTGTAACTCAAGAATTACAGTTTCATACAATCTGGAAGTATGTCCACTGAGCCCAAACCACTACTGAAGGTTGCACTGTGGGGGAAAAAGGGGGGCTTTTCAGCAGAGAGTGAGTTGTTAGGGTACTGAAGAGCAAGAACTGGCAGTAACCATCCTACTGGAAAGTACAAAGGAGTGACAGCCAAAAAGGCAAATATGAAACATGTTAGTGCCATCTATTGGCAGGAGTAAACAGTAACAAAGAAGTGACGCTTTGCACAGTCTCAATTCAGATAAGACCTCAGCATCAACTCTGGGGTTTGCAAAAGGACTTTTACATCCAATTAACTGCCTCTTAGGATGTTGAAAGCCTAAAGATGCAGGCTTTGCATGTGGAAAGCAGAGGGAAACTCCAGAACTGTTGGCTACATTCATGTTCACTTAAGGATATGACAAAAAAGAGCCCAAGCCAAGATGTGACTGGGTCCTAAAGGACAGATTCCAATGCAGGAGACCAGAGCTTTCACAGATTCCCGTCCCACCCCACCATGACATCCAATCCATTGGTGGGGAAGTGGACAGGAGAGTCCTATGCTTAGATGGGCAGAGCAGGCATTGCAATTCCCCATGCCTAGAGCCTATCCATAGATGCCTGGTGATGTATGAACATGGAGATGGGATTTAGCAAGACCGTTTCTCTAGGGGAACCCACCTGTGCAGACAGAGGGGAAGTGAGACGCCACCCTGCTGAGCCCACTCCGCTGAACCTCCAGGTCCAAGCTACGTGCTTTCTTCACATAGGGAACGCCAATGCAGCTGGCAGTACCAAGCAGGCATGAACTTTATGTGAAGGAGAACAGGAGTCATAACTTGATTTGATACTGAGGGGCAAGGATGATGTCTGCCTTGAGATGACAAGATCAAATCCAGGCATCCATGTCAGGGTCCTGTTGCCAGACTTCAGTTAGATTCAGGGACCTACACCCCACAAACCAAGAGCCACAAGGCCTACAGGGGCCAGGCAGATGAGTTAAAAGAAGTCAAGAGGGCTAGGCGAAAGGCAACAGGGAGGAGTGGGGACCCCGGACAAACTGGAAAGACACTATTGGCCCCGTCTAAAGGGGGCGGCCAGTGCTCAGTCCAGCCAACTGCTGCTATGTGGGAGCATGGCCCCAGTACTCCAGATCCTCTGAGGGCTCAAGAGAATCCAGGCTGTTCTCCATGTGATATTTCTCAATTTTTAAATATTGTCAACTTAGTCATTAAAAAAGAAAAGAAAATATGCTAACCACATAAAACAGAACTGCGAGCCGGATTCAGCCCATATGCCTCTTATTTGCAACCTCTGCTAGCCCTTCTGTTTTATGCTTTTGTCCTCTTTTCCTTTAACTTCTTTGAAAAAATCTTTGTCTATGGGAAACCAAGAAGAAAAACAATTTCCCTATGCAAAATCAATGATTCCACTCATCTTGAGACGTTTCAGAGTTAAATATAAAATTATCAGTGAGGACTGTCTCATAGTAGGCACTGTATATTCACTCCTTCTGCTTATATCTTATAATATTTATGAAGTGCTTTCCAATTTCCTGCTTTTATTTGCTTCTGATAACAGGATGGTAGGGCAAGTATTATTATCCCATTGGAAAGATGAGGAAACTAAAGTTCGGAGAAGTTAAGTGATGGCTGAAAGTCATACACTGAGACCAGGCGTGGTGGCTCACACCTGTAATCGCAGCACTTTGGGAGACTGAGGCAGGAAGATCGCTTGAGGCCAAAAGTTCAAGACCAGCCTGGCCAACGTGGTGAAATCCCATCTCTACTAAAAATACAAAAATCAGCCAGGTGTGGTGGCAGGTGCCTGTAATCCCAGACAGGAAGATCGCTTGAACCTGGGAGGCAGAGGCTACAGTGAGCTGAGATGGCGCCATTATACTCCAGCCTGGGCAATAGAGTGAGACACTGTCTCAAAAAAAAAAAAAAAAAGTCATTGAGCTGTATACTCAGGTTGTATTTTACTGTTTATCTCTAGAAAGGAAACACGGGGAAGTTACATGAAAAAAAAGACTCTTAAGAACAAGTCAGGCTTTCCTCCTAAATTTAAACAACTCTACCTTGCTAGCTTAACCTCAAGGTCTTACAAGAAATTAGTTTATACATGTTAAACAACTATATAAACCCTAAGAATGTGTTATAAAATCAACATGACACTGTAGTCTATAATTATTGTGCTCTAAAATAACGCTGAAATATGTTATCTTAAGAAACAGTGTTGCACCCCTTCCTTCAGAGATACATTGCTTGAGCTAACATTTTACTTCCAAGTCTTTTTTTCCCCAGTTGGGAGTACGAAAGAAGGCTTTGGCTCAGATTTAAATGCTCACCAATTTCAAACCCATTCGGTCAAAATCAATAAGCCTTCAAATCAAAGCACCTTTCTTTTTGAAAATATTATATTAAATGCAGACATTGAAAAGGTTATAACATTGGCTCTTTGGGTTTCCATAATAATGCAAGAACATTTTTCCCAGGAGATCAATGCAGACAATTAATAATGATCCTTTATCTTATCTATAAATCTTAGTGTGCCAAACAAATACTATAGCATATAGAATAGCATCTGAGTACTTATTAATATTATAGAATTTTAGCAAGATAAATTCCCTAAAGATATCATTATCAACTCAGGAACATTATTTTTAGGCTGTTACATGTCCTTACAGCTTTTAAATAACCACCTTAGTTGAGTATGTCAAGATCTGCTAAGGCTGAGCTATTTGGATTAACAGTAATCTCAAATTCTGAGGAACAAAACCTCAAGGCAACCCAATGAGAACATTTACAAAACAAGATCACTTTATTTCATATTGCAAAGCTCCCACTGGTCTCCAGAAGTATCTAATGCACTTTAAACAACTTTCATGGAAACAACTAAACCACAGCACTTTAATAAAGTATTACTTATAAGAATTGAAGAACTAACTTCTTGGACATTAACCTAAATTCCAATGCCCTAGGGTAGGATCCTTAAACCATGGGTAAGGGGAGCATAACTCTGCTTAGGAAAGGAACTGTCCTGGGGCAGTGCCCTGAAGAGGGACAGTAGTGACCTCAAAGAGACTGCTGTCACCTAAAACAGCAATGGCCAGTATCATTTTCAAACCAGGCCATGCCCTGTGACAACCAGTGTGGCATCCACATGTCCACAACCTCTCAAAGCATCTTTTTAATGAAGGATCTGAACTAAAATGCATTTAAAAGCACACAGTGTGGGCCGGGCACAGTGGCTCACACCTGTAATCCCAGTACTTTGGGAGGCCAATGCAGGCGGATCACTTGAGGTCAGGAGTTCAAGACCAGCCTGGCCAATATGGCAAAACCCTGTCTCTACTAAAAATACAAAAAGTAGTTGGGCATGGTAGCACACACCTGTAATCTCAGCTACTAGGGAGTCTGAGGCAGGAGAATTGCTTGAATCCAGAGGGCAGAGGTTGCAGTGAGCTGAGATGGCACCACTGCACTCCTGCCTGGGTGACAGAGTGAGACTCTGTCTCAAAAAAAACAAAAACAAACAAAAAAAGCAAGCACACGGTATTTGTTGTAATGATAAGAAAAAACAAGATTTTCTTTCTTGGCAATACTCAAATAAGTGATATAACTGACCACGTGGCTTATTTTCTAACCTCCAGAAAAGCATTTTTGAGCAAAGACAATTTCTAGACAAGCTGTGCCCGTGGTCCATCACCTGCCCTGAAACTCAGCAGATTCACCCATACAACCAAACACCACCAAGTCTTTTATGCAAAGAGAGTCTTACCTGTGAAAAGTTCAACCCATTCAATGGATGGCACTGCTCTTCCACCTTTTCCACTGCCCCAGTCTGTTTCCTCAGCCGCTCAGCCTCCTGGGCAAGGAACAGGTCTAAGACAGGCACCCCACGGGACTTAATGTCCACTTCAGTAAGGGAGTTGACCATAAGCATCACCCATACAGGCCTCTTGCGCTCCCAGTTTCCGGCAATGGCATTGAAGAGGTAGTCTGCGTAGAGTCCCTTGCCGCGCTGGTCTGGGGTCATCCACGAGGGCATCATGAGCTTGACATACTCCAGGTGGCGCTTGAGGCGGCAGTAGATGTCCTTGGGGAGCACATCTTGGAGGTTCTTGCCCTGTGGCAGCATCTGACAGCTGGTGAGAGCTGAGATCGTATAGGGGTCTGTGAGGTCCAACTCAAAGTACACAGTGCTGCTCTGCAGGAAAGCCTCCTTAGAGTTGTCGGGGATGAAGTCCCAAACTCGGGTGTATGGGACATGGATCGTGCCAAAGAAGTAAGATGGCGGGTCTCGCTTAATGGTCCACAAGAAGGAATTCAACTCACTTTGCTGAAAAGAAAAAAGGCAACATCAAGGTATAATACGGGGGAGAGGAGAGGGGGGAGGTCAGGAACCTGTGAGAGGAAATGAATTAGTCACATTTCAAGAGAAAATATATCAAACTAGAATTTAGACTTTTGAGTCCATGTAGATTCACCTGCCACGACAATCCATGTCTTAAATAGACAGGAGCAAATTATGAAATCAGGATGAAATCAGGGGCTCATTAGGACTCTAGTTTCAACCTTGGCTATACATTGGGATCACCAGGGGAGCTTTAAAAGAAGCATCTCTGAGTCCTACCTCCAGAGATTCTGATCTGATTGGTCTGGGATGAGACCCACCTTTTCAATCAAAAGGGGATGGGACCCCCCTTTTCAATCAAAATGTTGATTCCAAGATGAGAAAGCAATAGCAGTCACCAGTTTTGAGTTTGTGCCATGCCTGCCCTAGCAATGAACTGGGCAAGAGTTAAAGAAGTGAGTCTCAGGGGCCTCCAAGGATATACCTGATACCATCTAAGAGACACCTGAGAAGCCCATTCATTGTCTCCCAGGCAGACCAGATGGTCCCGCTCCTTCAGATCTCAAAACCAACATCCCCAAAGGCAGAGGCTTCAACTCTGGCTATGCACTGGAATCACCCACAAAGCTTTTCAAAGTCCAATGCCTGGATCCACCCCAGACCAATCACATCAGAATCTCTGGAGGTGGAACTCAGAAATGCTACTTTTTGGTTTTTTTTGAGACAGAGTCTCGCTCTGTTGCCCAGGCTGTGTGGTGCAATCCAAACTCACTTCACTGCAACCTCAGCCTCCCAGATTCAAGCAGTTCTCCTGCCTCAGCCTGCTGAGTAGCTGGGATTACAGGCGCTCGCCACCACACCCAGTTAATTTTTGTATTTTTAGTACAGATGGGGTTTTACCATATTGGCCAGGCTGGTCTCAAACTCCTGACTTTGTGATCCGCCCACCTCAGCCTCCCAAAGTGCTGGAATTACAGGCGTAAGCCACCGCGCCTGGCCACAGAGATGCTACTTTTAAAGCTCCCCTGGTGATCCCAACGTACAGCCAAGGATGAAACTAGAGTCCTAATGAGCCCCTGATTTCATAGTTTGCTCCCGTCCCTTTAGGACGTGGATCGCATTTCTTTCTCTCACAAAGCCTTCAGAGGTTCGGTCGCAGAGATCTGGATGGTCTCTGCTGGATAGATTCTCTCCAAGCTGTTGCACATGCTGAGCAGTGGTGCATGTTCATCTGAGGCCAGGCCATTTCACTCCTGGCCCCTGAGTGTCTCCCAACCTCAACAACTGGCATTTATAACATATCTGCTTATTAAAATGCACTGTACAAAGAAGTGCAGTGCTCAAGGAATTCAGGTGTAAGTGGCAGACATACTAGTGACAAGAACAATGTATCAAGAAAGCTAGAAATGTGAAGATCCAGGTTTACAGAAAAATATATATATATATATATTTTGGCGGGGCATGGTGACTCACACCTGTAATTCCAGTACTTTAGAGGCTGAGGCGGGCAGATCACTTGAGCTCAGGGGTCTGAGACCAGCCTGGGCAACACAGCAAAACCCTGTCTCTACAAAAAATACCAAAATTAGTCGGGCATGGTGGTGCATGCCTGTAGTCCCAGCTACTCAAGAGGCTGAGGTGGATTGCTTGAGCCCAGGAGGTTGAGGCTGCAGATCGCACTACTGTGCTTCAACCTGGGCTACAGAATGAGACTTTATCTCAGAAAAAGAAAGAAAGAGAGAGAGAAGGAAGGACTGGAGGGAGGGAGGGAGGGAGAAAGAAATATTTGGAACATATTCACTTTACTAAAGGGTTTGACTTCAGCCTTTTAAGTAACATGCTTCCCTTGGATTATGAAGTTTCAATCTACAAGCAATTCTCATTATTCATGGTAGTTATATTTTATAAAGTTGCCACAAACACAAAATTAGCAAATACTAAACTGTTGTTCCTAAGGGAAACAAAAGGTTAAGTTCCTATTCATAACATTTTCATCAACTGATCAAAACATAGCCTTGTTTCATGTGTGCTTCTATTGAAAGGCACCTTATTGGCCCGGCACGGTAGCTTACGCCTGTAATCCCAGCACTTTGGGAGGCCAAGGCAGGTGGATTGCCTGAGCTCAGGAGTTCATGACCAGCCTCGGCAACATGGTAAAATCCCATCTCTACTAAAATACAAAAAATTAGCCAGGCGTGGTGGTGGGCGCCTGTAGTCCCAGCTAGTTGGGAGGCTGAGGCAGGAGAATTGCTTGAACCTAGGAGGCGGAGGTTGCAGTGAGCAGAGATAGCGCCACTGCACTCCAGCCTGGGGGACAGAGCGAGACTCCATCTCAAAAAAACAAATTTTAGGCCGAGCATAGTGGCTGACGCCTATAATCCCAGCACTTTGGGAGGCCGAGTAGGGTGGATCACTTGAGGTCAGGAGTTCGAGCCTGTCCAACATGATGAAACTCCACCTCTACTAAAAATACAAAAATTAGCTGGGTGTGGTGGCGCGTGCCTGTAGTGTCAGCTACTCTACTTGGGAGGCTGAGTTAGGAGAATTGCTTGAACCAGGAGGTGGAGGTTTCAGTGAGCTGAGATCCCACCACTGCATTCCAGCCTGGGCAACAGAGCAAGACACAGTCTCAAAAAAGAAAAAAAAAAATTTTTAAACCATTGATTGTTGAAGTAATATTAAGAGATGAATCACCTACAGGGTCCCCATCCCCTAGGCATCCTCTTATGCAGTAATAAGGGTCCCTGGGGTTATTTAAATACTTCAAAAATGAAACGGAAACTGTACTTCTACCAAGAACGTCTACTAAGGCGAATTAAGCAATCAAATGTCTCACTGTTGGTTAGAATTAGATCAACAGGGTAGAAGACACTGGGTAACTGTAATAGATGCTAATCAAAAGCTGAGATTGACAGTTATGTCTTTGGTTAATTATAAACAGGTAACAATTATTACCTACAAAAAGGTAGAGGCAGCCTTCGAAGAGTAATATTAGTTTATTTGTTCATGTAGAGGTCTGGCTCGTGAAATGTCTAGGGACCACTGGCCTATATAAGAGATCTAACTGCACAACTTCCAGGCAGTCTACCCAAGAACTTCTACATGGTTTCCAACTGGGAGACACAGCAAACAAGCTGAAATGTTATGATTAAAGCCATGGGCACCTGATTCGTCTATCAGGACACCATCATGTTAAACAAATATATTCCCAGGAAAACCAAACCCATACTGCAGGATAATGGAGGGGTGGGATTCGCTCTGGGTCAGTTTTGGTTCGGTTTTAATCCAATACACTTAATCTGCCTAAGGCCCCCATCCAACCTCAAAATACCTGCATTTCTCTTCAGAAGCAGTCTGTTCAATATGCATCTATTTTCATTTTATTATTTATTTATTGTTGCCTTTTCAACTATTACTGGTCTAGAAATAAGGTCACTGTATGATCTTTTCACTGAAAGCTGCTTAAATGTAAAACACACACACACTCACACATATGTCTGGCCTCTAGCCGTGCAATGACAGTACCGATGCTAACAGCAGCTGTTCGCTGTGTGCCAGTCTCCACCCAAACATTGTGCATGGACTTTCCCACTGCCTGCATTCAACACAATTATTTCTGCTGAGCCTACCATGTGCCAGACACTGTTCTAGGCACTGAGAATACAGCAGTGAGTGACACACAGGGCCCTGTTGGTGCTAATTGCTGTGGAGAACATGTAAGCCGGCTTGAAGTCTTTCATCTTGGAGGAGGCCAAGATGTAACTTTCTTCCGCTTTCCCAAATCTGGGTTCATCAGCCACGAGCCGCCTCCACCATGCCGCCTAAGTTGGACCCTAATGAGATCAAAGTCGTACACCTGAGTTGCACTGGGGGTGAAGTCAATGCCTCGTCTGTGCTGGCCCCCAACATCAGCCCCTCTGCTTCTGTCTCCAAAAAAGATTGGTGATGACATTGCCAAGCCAACCAGTGACTGGAGGGGTCTGAGGACTACAGGGAAACTGACCATTCAGAACAGACAGGCCCAGATTGAGGTGGTACCTTCTGCTTCTGCCCAGATCATCGAAGCCTTCAAGGAACCACCAAGAGACAGAAAGAAACAGGATAACATTAAACACAGTGGAAATATCACTTTTGATGAGGCTGTCAACATTGCTCAACAGATGCAGCACCAATCTTTAGCCAGAGAACTCTCTGGAACCATTAAAGAGATCCTGGGGACTTCCCAGTCTGTGGGCTGAATCTTGATGGCTGCCACACTCATGACATCAGAGGTGACATCAACAATGGTGCAGCGGAATGCCCAGCTAGTTAAGGAGCACAAAGGAAAACATTTCTATAAAGGATCATTTGACAACAAAAACCACAAAAAGAACGTGTAAGCCAGAAAACGGACAGTGAGTACTGTGGCACAGGGTTGCAGGGGTGATTTTAAGTAGGGGGACCAGAAAAGTCACTATCTAGAAAGACATCTAAGCCTTGCCATGAAGGAGAAAGGGGCCCACTAAGGGGATATCTAAGAGAAGAGCATTCCCTCCAGGAGGCAGAAACAGCAGTGCAAAGGCCCTGAGGCAGGGAGGGCCTCCATGTACTGGAAGACCAGCAAAGAGGCCAGCACGACTGAAAGGGATAGCTGAAGAGGAAAGCAGGAGGCAGAGGTCAGAGAGGTGAGTAAGGCCAAGCCATGCAGGGTCGGTGGGCCCCTGGAAAAGCCCCAGGAAGAGTTCAGGCTTTCAACTGAGTCAAATGGGAGCTAGTCCAGGTTTTTGAGAGAGGAGTGACATCAGCTGACAGTGTGTTCAAAGGATCACCCTGGAGGCTGGGATGAATAGAGGGATGAGGGCAGACACAAGTAGGTCAGTTAGGACATTACCAAAATAATCAAAGGGGGAGTGACAGGATTGATGGAAGTGATCAAATTCCAGATGTAGTCTAGAAAACAGGATTTGCTGGCCAGTACGGTGCCTCATGCCTATAATCCCAACACTTTGGGAAGCTTGATCCTAAAAGTTTGAGACCAGCCTGGACAACATAGCAAGACCCTGTCTCCACAAAAAATTTTAAAATTAGCCAGGCATAGTGGCAGGCACCTCTGGTCCCAGCTACTTAGGAGGTTGAGGTAGGAAGATGGTTTGAGCCTGGGAGGATGAGGCTGCAGTGAGCTATGATCACACCACTGCACTCCAGCCTGGGCAACAGAGTGAGACCCTATCTCAAAATTTAAAAAAAAGAAAAAAGAAAAAACAGAACTTGCTGATGAAAGGATGAGGTTATCATTTCCAGGGGAAGGTCAGAAATTTGGTTTTAGATCTGTGCAGTTGACATGTCAAGCACACAACCTAGTGCCAAGGTCCAGCTGGCAGGTGAATATGTAAGTCTGGAGCTTGGGAGAGGCCTGGGCCAGAGATAAAGATGAGGGCATCATCACCACGTAGATGGTCTTTAAAGCCATGGGACTAGGTAAGGTCTGCAACAGGATGTCCACAGGAAAAAAGGTCTAGGAATAGACTCAGGGCCCTCTCACCCTAATAAGTCTGGGGAAAGAAGAGCAGCTAGCAAGGGAAAATGAGAAGTGGCCAGCAAGGTTGCTGGGAAAATCAGAAGAGTAGGAGGCCGATTGAAGAAAGTACTTCAAGGAGCAGAAAGTAAGCAAGTGGGTTAAATGTGAATGGTAGGCCAAATAAATCAAGAATTTGAGAACTGACCTCTGGATTGAGCACCACTGAAGTCACTAGGGACCCAGACAAGAATAGTTTGAGTGGGATGGTGGGAGCAAAAATAGGTCCTGTGCTAAGTGGTGGACAGGTAGGCTGGCTCCTGAGTCCAGGCTTTTAAACACCATATTTATGCAGCCTTAATATGCAATAGACTTTACTTGTTATTCAGCGTCATATGTTTTTTTCAGTTAATACCCTGCTAGTTGCATTGTTGCTCAGGAGTGCCACCTGACTCCACATCTAGAAAGGCTCTGTCCAGCTCACCTTCCCGATCCCAGATGATTGCCCAGGTAAATGCCACACTGACCTTGTTACATCCTCAGGTGCCACCTTTCCCATCTTCTCTTTTCAAGTTAACACAAGTCAGGGGCTTTTCTGTTTTCTTTATGCCAAGGGCTGTATCTTATTCACCTTCATGTTCCCAAATACTGAAATACTTGCCATATACTACTACATAGGAGCTCAAAAAGAGTTTTTTTAAAGAAATGAATCTTATCATGTACAACTTCTTCAATACCTACAGTTCTGTTCTGACAAGCAGGGCACCCAGACTCCCATTGTGTGCATCAATAACCATTCCTGTCGAACACTGATCCTGCCCCACCAGACACGTCTTCGGCAGGGCACAGGCTGAAAGAAAAGTCTTCAGGACTCTTCTTTACCTTACCTTGCCCACTGGCGAGCCCCCGGACCCTTGCACTTACTGTACTGGTGCAACTGCCTCTGCCTCTCTCATACGGATATCCTCAGGGTAGGGCTATTTATCTCTACAAAAAAACAAACAAACAAACAAAAAACAGGAAAAAAACCTTCACTACTCCATTTCACTGTTAAAATACATGGCAATTAGAAGAAGCCATAGATTTTAACATTAGGATGGTTTAAAAGAAAATAAAACTGAACCACTATTAACATGTCCCTTCTACCTTGTTACAACTGTTCCCAGAAGGAAAAGACAGCCGGGCATGGTGGCTCATGCCTGCAATCCCAAGACTTTGGGAAGCTGAGGCAGGAAGACCATTTGAGGCCTGGAGTTCAAGGTTACAGTGCGCTATGATCACAACACTGCACTCCATCCTGGGTGACAGAGCAGGACTCTGTCTCAAAAAAAGAAAAGAAAAAAGAGAGAGAAAACATAGCCATGGGTGACTGAGACATAGAAGCTACAAGCTTCTGAATCAAACTGAGATTTTAACAGACACCTGTGTAGTCCATCCAATGAAAAAGAACAAGGCAAAATGACAACTGTGTATTGCAAGATAACTCCATAACACCCAGCACCCCCTCAGCTCCTCCCATCCTAGCATCACCGGACCTGCAATAACTGCACTTTTCCAAGATTACTCTTCAGCAGACCAGCCACAATGAAGCTGGCTTTACATTTTCCTTTTCATTCAACAAATATTTGTTGAGCATCTGCTATGGCCAGGCACTCTTCTGGATACTGGGGATGCAGAGGCAAATAAAACAGACAAAAATCCCTACCCTTATGAAGATGACTCAGGGGAAGGGGTAGCAATAAACAAAATTTTTTATCAGATGGTGATTAAGTGCTATAAATAAAAATAAAGCAGGGAAGGCAGATGGTAGTGGTGGCAGCGGTTGAGATCACCTTTACGAGAGTAATCAGGAAGAAACCATTGAGAGACACTTGAGCCAAAGCCAGATGGAGGTAAGGGAGCAAGCCTGTGGATAAATGAGGGGAGAACTTTCCAGGGGGAAGAAAGAGCAAGTATAAAAGGCATCAGGCCAGGCACGATGGCTCACAACTATAATCCCAGCACTTTGGGAGGCCAAGGCGGGTCAATCATGAGGTCAGCAGTTCGAGACCAGCCTGGTCAAGATGGTGAAATCCCATCTCTACTAAAAATATAAAAATTAGCCAGGTGCAAGTGGTGGACGGCTGTAATCCCAGCAACTCAGGAGGCTAAGGCAGGAGAATCACTTGAAACGGGGAGGCTGAGGTTGCAGTGAGCCAAGATCATGCCACTGCACTCTAGCCTGGGTGACAGAGCAACACTCAAAAAAATAAAATAAAATAAAATAAATTTTTAAAAAAAGACATTAGGCAGGAATAGGAAAGAATACTAAGAGTTCTGTTATGATAAGAAAAGAGACTCAACCTGCGTGGTGCTCAGGGTAAACCCTGCAGTGTCTAGGGGCCAATTTGGGCTCAGAAGACCTCTCTAATGATTAACCAACCATGAAAACCAAACCAGCTCTCAAGCCTACAATCCTGCAGACTCCTATAAGGGCTGCTGCACTGGATTGGAGACTGGATCCCAGGACTTCCCCTCTAGAATCTCAAGACCCCAACCCACTGAGGGACCCAACCACAATGCCCTTACAGCATGTAGGTCAGACATACAGCATGTGTGCCACTGATTGGCCTTCCCAGTTCCGCAGGGGGTAAGACAGAGTTTGCCCACAGAATAGAACAGCGATTCTCAAAGTATGGTCCAAGGACCTGTGGGTGTGCCGAAGAGCCTTTCAGGGAGTCTATAAGGTCAAAATTGTTTTCACAAAACTAAAATATTTTCCTTTCACCGTCATTTTCTCACAAGGTACTGTAGAATTTGCTGGAGGCTACACGTGTGTAATGAGGTCACTGCTCTGATGGCTAATGGAATGTGTGCTATGTTGTGTTTTATTAATATCTCCATTAATTCACATAAAGTAAAAGTCTTTGAGGTTTTCAATACTTTTTTTTTTTTTTTTTTTTTTTTTTTGGATATAGGGTCTCGCTCTTTCACCCAAGCTGGAGTGCAGGGTGCAATCACATCTCAATGTAGCCTCCACCTCCCAGGCTCAAGGTTTCCTCCCACCTCAGCCTCTGGAGTAACTGGTACTGCAGGCACATGTCCCCACGCTGGTAAATTTTTTTTTGGTTTTTTTTGTAGAGGCGAGGGTCTCCCCATGTTGCCCAGGTTGGTCTGCAACTCCTGGGCTCAAGAGATCCATCGCCTTAGCCTTCCAAAGTGCTGGGATTACAGGAGTGAGCCACCATGCCGGGCTTCTTTGATAATTTTTTGTAATGTAAAGGAGTCCTGAGACCAAAAGGTAGGACAACCGATGGACTAAAGGACTCATAAAGACAGATTCTAAAGGAGAGAAATCTTATCCTGACTCACTCGTCATAATTACCCGTTGGTAATAGGTTTTACAGAAGTGAAAGACATCGTGCTTTCTTGTGAGGAGATGGACTCCTGCCTTGTCTAACAAGCATGAAGCGGCCACTCCGAAACAGAGTTTGAAACCATGCCTGGTTGCAGACTCCCCTCTCCAGCTGCTGCGCTTCCTGCCTTGGTAGAGGGCTGTCCGCAGACTCAAGACACCTTAGAGAGGTGAACACCGTGCGTCTTCCCAGCCAGCCCCGAGCTCCAGGATCGGCTGTATTTGGCCGTCCTCTGCTTTGCGGCAGTTGGGATGAGGAATAGAATTGCGAATGGCCAGGGGTAGAGGCAGACCGGGGAGCTGCGCAGGTGTCATCAAAGATGGGCGGACCTCTAAATTCCAGCCCCACTCCCCCCACCCCCAAACCCCCCAAACCCCCGCGTCGCGGGCGCACCAGAAGGATAAGCCTGGCATGGCCCTCCCCAGAGCCAGGGACGCACAGAGATCAAACCCACCGGAACAAATGCTCGAAATTCAACCTATGCCGCACTCAGAAGAGAGGGACTCGAGAACCACAGAAAATTATAAGGGTAGGAAAACTGATCAGAGAAGGAGATATTCATCTCGAAAGAGCTCCAGCCTCGGAGCTCCAGCCTCGGAGACGCAAGACCTGTCCGCTATAGAGCTGGACCTCCCTTGCCTGGGTTTCCCTCACCTGCAAAACGCTGATGCGAACATCTAAAGCGCCCGGCTGGACACGCAAGGCTCAGGCAGTGGTCACTCCACGAACGCACTCTGTGACCTGGAGCACACAGGTCCCCCGCTGAGTGTCAGTTTCCCAGATCCGTAAAACAAGGGAAATGGCTTCAACTCCCTAAAGTCCCTTCTAACTCAGGCACTGAACATATAAAGGTTAAACCAAGCAGCTGCAGGGCGCTGTTAATATTTTGATAAGAGCAGGTGAAATTAAACTCTTAAGGAAGAGAGGGAAGAAGAAACTTCAAATAAATGTGCCCAAGTTACTGCTCCGCTACGCCCTAGCGGATCGGTCCCCCGAAAGCTCGCGAAAATGGCTGGCGAGACCCCAGGGGCCCCCCGGACGCCCTTGGGCTGGCGGAGGGCAAAGGCCAGGGCACTGAGTCCCTTGGAGCCTGCTGGCCGCGCCCCTGCGGGAAAGGGGAACCCGAGGGCACGGAAAGGCGCGCGAGCAAGGAGCGCCGCGGTGCTAGGTGAAAGCCCAGCTGCGGAAGTCGGCTCGGGGTCCGAAAGCGCTGCTTCGCGGGGTTCGGAGGGAAACCATCCCAAGGAGGTGCAGAGAGGCCACCTCTCCAGCACCCGACGCGCGTCTTACTTGGGGCTTGAGCTCGCAGTTGGCGGCTCCAGGCGCCCCGTGCCGCTGAGCTGCGCCCGTGGGCAGGAGGCAGAGGGTCTGCAGCAGGAACCAGCTCCAGGGACTCATCCTCCTCACGGCGGCTCCGAGGCCCGGAACGCAGAGGGAAGGAGTAGGGCAGCAGTGGCCGGCCGCCCGCCCTGGCTAGCCGGAGCCGCGGGGCCGCCTCCGGGCGGGGCTGGGGTGAGCCCGGCAGCGGCGGCCACGTGGGGCCGGGCCCCGACCTCCCTCCCCCCACCCCAACCCCGCAGGTCAGCCCCGCGCCTAGGCTGCCGCCGAGTCCCGAACCGCGTTTCTCCCGCCCAAACCCTGCCCGGGCCGCAGCCCACCTCGTGTGACCGCAAGAGGGGAAAAGTGAAGTTCCAGCGCTGTCCTAAATTCAACCTAAAATCACATTGGTTCCCGCGTTTACGTCTGTGCTTGTGCTGCCAATTTTGAGGGGAGGGTGCCTCTTGATTGAAAGAGGCAGACAAAATAAACAAATGAAAGGCTATCTATAAAGGACAATTCATTTAAACAAAGGAAATCTCATGGAAGTTTTGAAAATCCAGGACCACAAAAGCCTGCACTCCATTAAGAGCCCTCTTAAGGGATTTTTGGGAATAATATTAAGGATGTTAACACCAAACTCAGAGGATTGCTACAAGGATTAAAAAAGGAAATTTATGAGAAAACCTTGATTGGCGAACATAGCAGGCCTGCAGACTGCAGTCGCTCCATTTCGGCTCCAAAGCCCCACTGAGGATTTTTCACAGCATTGGTCCATCAGGAAGAAAAAAAATTATAAAAGCAAGTAGTTGTGCCCCGCCTGCCGCACTTCCTACCCATGCCTGAGCGCACTTTACCACCACCTTTTAAAGTCCAGAATTCTGCACGATTAACTTCGGAGTGGTGTTCGCAGGGGCATTTGTTGCAATGGTCTTTAATTGTTTTAAGTCGCTGTCCATTTTGAGAATCTGATAACTGGACGATCTCCTAGGGAAAAAGAAAAAAGGGGGGGGCAGATTTGCATACAATGCGGGGAGAGGTTTTCTGAAGCCGGTTTCCAGCTTTCCGGTAAAGAATCCCTGGCTTTGAAGAGCCAAGTCTTTCGAGCTTTAACTCCACCAGCAGTTACGGTTCAGATGTTTTTGTAAAATCGCTAACTTTTTTCTAAGTTTGAGTGGGGATTTGCCTTCTGGAATTGACTGTCTCCTGTCTTCAGATGACTGCCCCATGTCAGCCCGGCGGCGATCATTAGTCTCCGGGCCAACCCAGGACGCTGCTCTTTGGCGTTTTCAGGCGCCAGCGCTGCCACCTGCTGGCAAAAACGTTCTCTTTCGGTTGTGAGGGGGAAAAGCAAAAAGCATCAAGAACTTAAGTTGCCCTGAGCTAAGATCACACCACTGCACTCCAGCCTGGGCCACATAGGGAGACCCTGTCTCTTATTTAAAAAAATAAAAAGAAAGAAAGAAAACCTCGAAAGGATGTAATTACCTATTATTTCATGTTCTCTCTCCCACTCCAAATGTATCAATCTGTGTGAACAGAGAGTAGCCCAGCTCTCTCTGACCACACAAAACATAGCTGAATTTGTTCATTTTCTCCTATTGTTTGTCTCTCTTTCATTTTGTTGGTTTCTGCTCTTACCTTTGTTAGTTCCTTCTGTTTGTTTACTTTTGGGTTTAGGTTGCTTTTTTTCTGCCTTCTTAAGGTGGTACCTTAAGTCACTGACTTTAAGCCTTCTTGCTTTTGTAATATAAGCATTTAAAGCTATAAATTTCCCTATAAGCACTGCTTTAGCTACATCACCCGAATTTTGAAAAACTGTATTTCATTATCTTTCATTATCTACTTTCCCTGGTGATTTTCTTCTTTGCCCGTGGATTATTTAGAAGTAGGTTGATTTCCAAATTATGGAATTTTCCTAAATATTAGGTTGGTGCAAAAGCAATTGTGCTTTTTGCAATATCAATAGATTTATAATCCAATTCCATTGTATTCCATTGTAATCAGAAAACATACTCTGTATGATTTTGATTATTTGGAATTCATTGGGACTTGTTTTATGGCTCAGCATATGGTCAGATACTGAGCATGAAATATCATCCACATCCAAAGTACCTAGATAATTTTGTTTGGTTCTGACATTTTTTAAATGAAGTGGGGTTTTTTTCGTTTTGTTTTGTTTTTGTTTTTTCTCTTAGCCACACCCGTCATCAAGTAGGATTTATTCTGTAAGACACTCGGTATCCAAACATCCTGTAGAATCACATCTACTCTACTTACATTGCTTCCACAGACATTCCTAAGTCCACTATCATCCCATAGTGCTGACCCAGAACAGGCTGACATGGCCTGGTCCTCACTTGCCTCATCCAGACATCTGGGTTGCAGGCCTTTCTGCCTTTCCCTTCCTGGTTAGGAAGGAGATGTTAAATGTACCTATGACCTCTCTGCCTATCTGCAGAGTTTCTGGATCAAGTTCAGCTCCTTAACTTGAGCTTTGTTACTGGACCATACCTCTGGCCACCCATTGCCAGAGCCCTGAATTGCTTCTGAACCTTCCCCTGGTCCTTTCTCTTTTCCATTTCATGTATGGTTGATATCCTTGGCAACTCTCTCGTATTAGTCCATTTTGTGCTGCTATAGAAGAATACCACAGACTGGGTCATTTATAAAGAGCAGAAATGTAGTTCCTTACAGTTTTGGAGGCTGGAAAATCTGAGACCAAGGTGCCTGGCATCTTGCAAGGGCCTCCTTACTGCATCACCCCATTGTGGAAGGTGAGAGGACAAGAGAGCGAGAAAGAGAGAGGAATCAAGATTGAGAGCTAAAGTCAGCTTCAAGCCATTCATGAGGTCGTGAGAGTGAAGGCCTCCAATGATGCCCCAGCTCCCAACAATGTTGCATTAGGGATTAAGTTTCCAACACATGCTTTTGGAGGACACTTTCAAAGCATAGCATCCCCTTAGGTCCACCTACTCTTAAGTGCTTCTTTTGTGCCCCTAGTAATGACTTTCTGAATTTATACAAACCTATGAGGCTTATCCCCTTCATAGCAGTACCTGAGAAAATTATACTGTGGATACTTTTTTGCTCTTTCCCCAAAATCAGATTTACCCTAAAAAATAAAGTTTTCAAAGTATGCAGAGGATTTGTTACAGCTTCAGCAACACCTCTGTGCCTTCACCCGGACTTTTTCTACCTGGCTTCACTGACCTGCAGCCATCCACGGATTTTCCAAGGCGGTCAGGACATCACAGGTGTGGTGACAGGTCCCCTTGGTTGTCCCTCCTGATATTCACACTTACGTTTCATGCCCTGTCCTTTACTGTAACCAGAACCTGAGACTTGCTTCTAACGATGACATGTGGCAAAGGTTATGACCTGTGCTGTGATTACTTGTACATGACTACTTAAACATATAGTGCTAGTCTTCTAAAGTCTCTGTCTCCATTGCTCTCTTTAGATAAGCAAGTTGCCATGAGTCCTACAGCCATGAAGACATGAATTCTGCCAACAACCTAAGTGAGCTCAGGAGCAGATCCCTCTCCAGTTGAGCCTCCGATGAGAATCCAGTCCTAGCCAACAACACCCTGACTGTAGCCTTGTGAGACCCCAAGCAGAGGACTCAATTAAGCTATGTCTACACTCCTGATCCAAAGCAACTGGGAAAATAAATGTGTGCTGCTTTAAGCCACCGAGTTTGTGGTAATTTGTTGCAGCAGCAATAGATAACTAATACACCAGGGGAAGCGGGATGTTAAGCACTTCCTCAGGAGTTCCAGCGTGGCGCTCAACCAGCAGGCTGTGTCCGTCCTCAAGGTGACCAGTTGAAGACCTAAGCTGATGGAAGTGTGGAAACACCTACTCCCTCCACTGCCAGGTGTGCAGGCTCCGTGCATTCTCAGAAAGGGACTGAATGTTGCCACACTCCCTCAGCCACCCAGTGTTGGCACAAGAATTTCTAAGTAAGGAACAGTAGCAAGTATGCCAAAGCTGCATTTGTTTTGTAGCACACTGCTTGTACCATATTGTAAAAAAGAGAAAACATCCCTGGACAGCTGGGAGCTGGTCTGGTTTTATCAGTCGGGCCTTGGTGTTGCTACAAGCTGCCCTGGCACCCACAGCTGAGTCATGGTGTTCTCCTGTTGAACACAAACAATTTCACAGAGCATCAACATCAGACAAGGCCACTCTGTGATGAATGAAGATGAAAGCAAGACCCCTCCATAATCACATCTCAACACAGACAAAACATGAACATTGGCCAAGTCACAAGAAAGGATGTCCAGTCATCCGCCTCTTCTGACTAAGGAGTGACAGCTGCTCCTTTACCAAGGCCAACTTTCACCTCCATTCATTTCTCCCACCTCATAGATGAGATATGTGAAGATTCTATTTGGGGATGAATTCTGATCCCCCAAAATTCATACATTAATGCCCTAACCCCTCGTGCTTCAGAATGTGACTGTATTTAGAGATAAAGTCTTTAAAGAGATGATTAAGTTAAAATGAGACTGTAAGGATGGGCCCTAATCCAATCTGACTGGTGTCCTTATAAAAAGAGGAAATTTGAGCCAGGCGTGGTAGCTCTCACCTGTAATCATAGCACTCTGGGATGCCAAGGCAGAAGGATGGCTTGAGCCCAGGAGTTAGAGATCAGCTTGGGCAACAAAGGGAGACACTGTCTCTACAAAAAAAAAAAAAATTAGCCTGGCATGGTGGCACACGAATGGGGTCCCAGCTACTTAGGAGACTGAGGCTGGAGGATCCCTTGTGCCTGGGAGATCAAGAAGACTACAGTGAAACATGATCTCCACTGCACTTCAGCCTGGGCAACAGACTGAGGCCCTGTCTCAAACAAAAAGAAGAGAACAGCAGGGACATCCACACACGGAGGGGCAACCATGTGAGTACACAGAAAGAAGGCAGTCATCTGCAAGCCAAGGAGCAAGGCCTCAGGAGAAAAGACCTGCCAACACTTTGATCTCAGACTTGCAGCATCCAGAACTGTAAGAAAATAAATTTCTGGGCCAGGCACGGTGGCTCACACCTGTAATCCCAGCACTTTGGGAGCCCAAGGCAGGCAGCTCACATGAGGTCAGGAGTCCAAGAATAGCCTGGCCAACACGGTGAAACCCCATCTCTACTAAAAATACAAAACTTATCCAGGTGTAGTGGCATGCACCTGTAATCCCAGCTACTCGGGAGGCTGAGGCAGGAAAATCACTTGAACCCGGGAGGCAGAGGTTACGGTGAGCCGAGATTGCACCACTGCACTCCAGCCTGGGCAACAGAGCAAGACTGTCTCAAAAAAAAGAAAAGAAATTTCTGTTGTTTAACCTGCCCAGTCTGGGGTATTTTTTATGGCATCCCAAGCTGACTAATACTTGATAGCACCCAACCCAGAGCAAAGCCCCACTTCCTTGAACCCTCCCCCAAATCACCTGACAAGTCCAAATCCTGTAACAAGCCCCCCTAACACCTTCTTCCTGATATGCCCTACTGTTCCCCAAAATATGAGAAAATTTGGACACACAAAAGACACACATCTAGAGAATTCTCCCTCATTGCAAACAGCAATAAATCCAACTAATGCAATTTTGAGTGCGTCCCTGGTGGTCTATGGCTGAAGGGCATTGTTAATTGTATGTCTAGTTGGAGTGACGTTGGCCAGCCCCCACACCATCCTTGTGCTTCCACTGATCTTCTATCAGACCTCGTGGAGGGAGACCTACTGGAATTGGCACCTGCCCGTCTCCTCCCATTCCTCCTCTCCTGCCCCTCCCCTCCCTGCAAACCACATGGTGACACTATGCTAGGTAAATGCTCATTTGCTCCTAGAAGCCCGGTGCAATGCTGGTGCCTGTACAGAGGAGTCCTGACAGAAAAAGCTTCATGATATGTCGAGATGAATTGGGGCCTCCCAGGAGGGCACAGGAAAAAAGAATGGGTGTTCACTCTTCAGCTAGCTTCAGGCTTTTGCCTCGCTATCTGGGAGACACCCGCAGAAGGAAAGAGCTGAATTGCTGGACATTGGAAGAAAAAGGGTTTTTTACCAGAGAGGGGCAGAAGGGTGAAGAAGCTAGAGGCAAGGAGGCTGGAGACAACCATTAAGGGGGAAGACAGCAGAGGTATTGACAAGGGGGTTTTGTGATGGCTTACTGTTGAAAATTTTCAAGAAATTTCCAGTGATATTTAAATTACACACCATTCCTTTAGAGGTGGGTTTTAGACCTCTGACAGTTGGCATATGGCTTCACTGTGGGCACAGAGAAGAGAGAAGGCCTTCCAAAGGGGGCCCAGCCACACTTAAGGGACAATGAGCTAAACGTTTAGTTTTCACTGTGAGTAAACAAGTAAACAAAACTATGAACTTTTTCTAAAAGTGACCTGAATGATCAGCGAGTTCTTACAAGACAGGGGAGTGATTGTTCTATAAAACCTTCAAAAGCTCTAACTTGCATCCAGACACGGTGACTCACGCCTGTAATCCCAGCATTCTGGGAGGACAAGGCGGGCAGATCACCTGAGTTCAGGAGTTCGAGACCAGCCTGGCCAACATGGCGAAACCCCGCCTCTACTAAAAATACAAAAAAAAAAAAAAATTAGCTGTGCGTGGTGGCGCATGCCTGTAGTCCCAGCTACTCGGGAGGCTGAGGCGGGAGAATGGCTTGAACTCGGGAGGCGGAAGTTGCAGTGAGCCAAGATCGCACCATTGCACTCCAGCCCGGGTGACAGAGCGAGAATCCATTTCACCAAAAAAAAAAAAAAAAAAAAAAAAAAAAAACAAAGTTCTAATTTGCTACCCAAGCATATTTGGTGGTGTTTGTTTGTTTGTTTTTGGAACAAAGTTTCGCTCTTGTTGCCCAGGCTGGAGCGCAATGGTGCGATCTTGTCTCACTGCAACCTCTGCCTCCCGGGTTCAAGTGATTCTCCTGCCTCAGCCTCCTGAGTAGCTGGGATTACAGGCACCTGCCACTTCTGACTTCAGGTGATCCACCCGCCTCAGCTTCCCAAAGTGCTGGGATTACAGGCATGAGCCACCTCGCCCGGCCATGGTGTGCACTATTTTTTATCCTTAGGGGATCCTGCATCTTTTCTAGAAACTGTTTCATTCATTTATACAACACCTTTATCAAATACCTGAACAGTTCAGTGCCAAGTGAGGGTTTATAAAGATGAATGTGGCCGGGTGCAGTGGCGAATGCCTGTAATCCCAACACTTTGGGAGGCCGAGGCAGGCAGTTCACCTAAGGTCAGGAGTTAGAGACCAGCCTGGACAACACGGTGAAACCCTGTCTCTACTAAAAATGCAAAAATTAGCCGGGTGTGGCAGTGTATGCCTGTAGTCCAAGCTACTCAGGAGGCTGAGGCAGGAGAATAGCTTGAACCTAGAAGGCAGAGGTTGCATTGAGCCAAGATCATGCCACTGTACTCCAGCCTGGGCAACAAAGTGAGACTCTATCTCAAAAAAAAAAAAAAAAAGTGACTGTGACAGGCATGACTCCTCGCCCCCCGGAGCTTCCTCTCAAGAGCCATTATCCCTGGTTGCATACTAGAATCACCTGGAGAGCTTTTAAAATTACCAAAACCTGGACCTCACCCTGATTAATTAACTCAGAATTTCTGGGCGGTGTGGCCCCAGCATCAGCTTCTTTAAAGCTGCCCTGGTATTTCGAATATGCAGCCAAGATTGAGAGACAGATAGAAATTTCACAAAAAAGGAAATTACAGGATGGTAGTGTGGGTGGTGTGATGAGGGTCCATGACAGGACAGCCCATGACCCCACCGTCATTCTACGGAGAGTCTCCACAGGAATGTCATCTAATCAGAAACCTCAGATCTGAGTAAGAGTTAACCAGAAAGCAGCATTCCAGCGAGAAAGAACAGCAGAGACAAAGGCCTTGAGGCATGAGAGAGAGTTCACTGCTTTCATGGAATTCAGTCTTGTTGCACATAGACCAAGGCAAGTAAGCGTAAGCCAGAGAGATAGCAGGAGCTGGAGGTGAAAGGCCCCAGAGCTGAGATGAGGAGTTTGGCCCATATCTTGAAGACGTGGCAGAGCCATCAAAGTGTTTTAAGCAGAGGAATTGTGTAATCATACATACACTTTAGTGAGATCACTCAGACAGTAGCACGGAAGGGAAACTGGAGAAAGTGAAAGCGGAAGTGGTAAGACAGTGAGGGGACACGACAGGGACCTGCACTAGGCTCTGGCGGGGGTCAAAGAGAAGTACTATCATAAAAGTAAAATCCACCGCACTTGGAGGTTAATTGGATGTAGGGAAGAGGGAGAACAAGAAACTTTCCAGAACTAGCACCCAGAAAGGGCCTCTAGACCACACCCTTTGGCCTCAACTACACAGCCATAGTGCTGGTGGTGATGGAGGGTGAATATTCATAAGACCCCCAGTTACATCAGCGTTTCAATGGTCCTTCAGGCAACAAGAGAAGCAGGGGGAAAGGGAGTCTATCTCTCACTTCCTCCAAGATTAGGAACATCAGGTTCTTCTAGACCCCCAAACTCTTTTCCCCAGCCTCCCCCTGAAGTCTCTATAACTCCCACTGTCCTCTAGTCTTGCCTGCCTTTAGTAGAGTATCACCATCTCAGGCAGTTTCCTTTTGTTCTGAGCACTGTGAAAAGGACTGGGGTCCCGGAAGCATGCAGAACTAGAGTCCCATCTTGTCTCTGC